ATAGTTGTCGGTTTGGTCAATTTTTGTCGGCGGACCTCCCATTTCGCAGGCCTAAAATTTGAAAACCCTGGAACAGAGGTGGAAGTGGAACATAGCATTTTGTAGAGCAGACAATTCTCTTTCGAATGGTATATAACACGATGTAAAAGCATGGGGATTTAGATGAAAATTTTTTGGTTGAAAAAAAGCGACACTATTTATGAGACAACCTAATATATATTCGGTCAGTCAACAGTTTTGTATGGGGAGAAAAACATTGAGCTGAATGTTGGCTGATCTCCGCAAGTTATTGCAAAGCTCAGATGGCATTCAAATACAACCGCAATGAATGGAGTGGAACAGAGTGTGTGGCGCATCCCAGAAATGAAGTGACAGGAGGCTAATCTGCTTCGCCCTTCACTCGCTATAAAAATACTGGATATCGTCATATAAGTATTAAGGTTCTTAAAACTTGTGATCACACCTATCACTAGATTATGTCTTGTGTACGGGTTTATTGTCGGGCCCATCTCGAACGTGGGTAATTGAACGGTGACAAGGTAAATAATAAGCAAAATCAATAAACAAGCGAACGAAGGGAGGAGAACGAGAAATGAATGAGTGAAGAGATAATGAAATATGAAGTAATGAAGAGAAAAAGCAATGATGATTGTATGTATGAATGAATTAATTAATTAATAGTTAGGAAGGAGATGCAAGAAAGAGCGAAAGCGCCTTTAGCTTACATTGCTCGAACGAAACATTCGGGTTGTTTACGGTTTCGCGATCTTGATACGTAGACAAAGAAATGGCCCGATCGACCACGTCGAGGCACTTTCAAGCTTCGCTTTAGATGGCCACATGTGTTCCGTCCGAGTGTATACAGCGTTCATTGATTGAACGGTTTTGAATGACTAACCTCAGCTTTTCCTTCTTTCCTCGCCAGCAAACGGTAGGAAGAGCCCATGGTTCCATTGCCGAATTGAAAGCCTGGCCTAATTGTTTGCTTTGGCTGAAGAATTGTTGAAATAAAAATGGAAGCACGGTCAACGGCCCGTTCGGACAGTTGGAACGAGGAGTCGTATTTGTGATCTAAAGGGGGGGGGGGGGTGGCATTTGAGGCTGACCAAGCTCAACGATTTCTTCAAAAAACTCTAGCGGTCGGAAGTTGAAGGAAGCGGTTGAGCCTGGTTCGAAGTAGGCGACTGCTTGCAGAGAAAGGGCTCTGCTAGGAGAAATGGCCGGTGCTGGTTTCTAGCGAGATGGTGACTGTAAAGAAGTTCAGCAGTTATTTACGTGTTCCGAATTACAATTGTTACTGTAGGTACCCACTTGATGTACCGTAGCAAATGCTAAGCGTGACCTCGGTGATACCAATAGGCATGACTAGATATAAGTAAGGGTCCTAGAGTCTTCTTGAATGTTCTATCACTGCCCACAGGTCAACCCGTCCCTTCGCTATTGAAACGAGGCGGTCGCATGGGTGTTTTGTGGGGAGAGGGGGAGGGATGAGTCGCATTTGGGGTTGAGTAAGGTAATCACCTCCGGTAAAGGTGCGAAAAGGGTTATTTCTGATAAACTAATTTAGCGCTAAAATTATTATGCGGGAACCTAAAAAAATACTTCGTTCCAAAATTTTTTCCAGTTTTCTATCATGATAAACCTCACAGCGTCTGCCTTTTCGCATTGTTTGAATGGCATCGTGAAGTCAACCATCCGATTTTGAGTTATGAATTTTAGTCAATCCGCTGAACTATAGTCATAAGGGCAATCGAAGGTCCGCAGATTCAACGGCGCATTCCATGGCAGTCGCTCAAAAGTTAAAACGTAATATTAGTGACTGATCTACTAGCAACGAAGGCCGTAAAATAGGCCTTCTGGAAAGTAGCTGAAAGCTTCCCTTTTGAAAATTCGTTCTGAAAATTGTTACAGTTTAACGAGGAGGCCCGCCTTCGCACGTTAACGGCTCCCAGCCCTTGGAAATACCCTCATTTTTGGCGCATTTCATTACGTATCTTTGCCATCCCTATTCAGCTGCAACCGTTAACGTGTATAGTGCCCCAGGTATCAGTAGCAGGCTGTCCGCGTAGTCATCTAAAATCCTTCTCGGAAACCTCGTGATTCTGCCTCCCGCAATAAATCACTGGCTTGAGACTCATCATTTCACAATAAGAATGGAAAGAACAGAAAAATTGCATTGTGTTTTGGTAAAAAATTCGAAAACCGAAAAAGGCTGCTACGCGTTCAAAGTGCCGCCGGACATCTGTCACAAATGCTGGCGACGGGAATGCTTCCACTTGGTTCTTCGGAGTGCCGTTCACTAGAAACTTCTGGCCATTACTAGCATCACCATCTCACACTTCTACTGTATCCTGTTCTATATATCGACCGTTTTTTCTCTTTTGTCCATCGCACGCTTTAACTCGATCCTTTCACTGCGTTGCCTGATTAGTAGCCGCCCCCAAGGGAAGACTTCTTTCCATGCCCGCCTTTGGCTCCGCCCTTTTACCTTCGATTGTCCATAGAGTGTGGTTTTTGTAAGTTTGTTTCTCTTCGGAAACTGAATCTTTGTGCGTGAAACTTTGTATGTTGTCTCTAGTGATCACAACTGACATATGCGTGTTGGGAAAGAATGCAAGATTTCTCCGGGGAGGATTCCTTCAAGTGGGCGGAGCTAGGTCTGATGAGGAAGACCCTAGCGCCTTTCCTCCACAACTTTGCGTGACGAAATATGGACAGATTTCGTGGTTTCTAAACGGTCTATCAATCTACGCAGGGGTTTGATCTATTCAAGTAATCGTGGAAGGTGCCTTTAAGTATCATGCACCACAGATTGGCGCATATGTCGTCATCAAACAAAATCAATTTTACCACACATTCATTGGTACAGCAAATACACTTCCATACAATATGAGCGCCGACGTCAAAGCGGAAAAATAAGGCAGTACTTGGGAAATGAGAGTGATGACGTCATTCTCGGAATATTTACACAGCCACCTAGACTAAATCACTGTAAAATATTAATTAAATCATCGAAAATCGATTCGAAAAAAATCAGACTAGATGTGTTCCCTAATCAAAACGATCATTCATTTGACATTACAGAGGGAGCGGGGGGGGGGAAGAAAGAGATATATCAAATCAATAAATCAATAATCAATAAAGATTCGTCTGTGTCTGCTAGCCAGATTCGTTCTGAGTAATCAAAAAAGAAGCTAATCTACAAGGAAGGAAGGTTAGAGAAGTTGTAAAAGTCTGCAATCGTTATAAGAAAGCTCCAAAACAACATTATTAGAGAGGTGTGTAACGGGCTGTTACTGACTGAAGTACAGACTTCGACTGAACGTCACGTAGTCGAATGAGCCCGGTGGTGCCTGTGGGTCGTTGTAGGGCGCCATTCGTTGCATACAGTAAACTGCTTGGTCAGCAGGCAGCTCCCGACGCAACTCGTCCCCAGTGATGAATGGCTGAAACAAAAACATTTTCCAGGCAGTCGCGATAAAGACCGGCAAAAGAACGAGTTCCAAGTGGTGCGTGGGTAGAAAAACCCAAAGAATCAGCTAGAAAACCCTAGAAACGAGAGCGTCCTCTTGCTAGTTGACAGCAGTGGACGAGTTCACTGCTAACTAGGTATGGCCTGGTCGACGGACTACTTGAACTCAGCCCTTTAAACCGCCTCTGCGCTCTCTCGCTCCCTCTCCAAGGCTTAGTCCTAGGGCATTCACCCGTTCTCTAATCGTCTGTGCTCTAGCCATCGCGGCAGGACCATTGAGGAAAAATCAAGTAGTCCGTAAACCGGTATGGCCTGGGCAACTGGCACCATGCCAACACGATCGATAAGCAGTTGCTACTTTGATCGCTAGTGCAACAGGGCACTCAGAAAGGGGAATCGAATGGTAACGGCTTTATTTTGAATACATTACTATTATCATAGCTTCCACGTGCTGACAGTGGGCGTGTCTGAGGTGAGCAGGGGTTACCGAGGTACTTTCGGCGCCTTATCACGCTGTTAATGGCGCGTCTGCTGCCGCGAGAGGGCCACCTATCGTCTATTTGAGCCTCATCTACCATCCCAAATACACATAATCCCTTCCACAATCACCACGAATCCGAGACTTCCCTTGATTTACTAGAAGCAGATCTCAG